ACCCAGCAATAGCACTTCTAGGGCTATAATCCAAAGAGATCACACAAATGGGAAAAGGACCCACATGTACAAAAATATTCATAGCAGCTCTTTTTGTGGTGGCAAAGAATTGGAAATTGAGAGGATGCCTATCAATTGGGGAATGGCTGAACAAGTTGTGGTATATGAATGTAATGGAATGCTATTGTGCTATAAGAAATGATGAACAGGCAGACTTCAGAAAAACCTGGAAAGACTTGTATGGACTGATGCTGAGTGAAGTGAGCAGAACCAAGAGAACATTGTACACATAACGGCCATGTTGTGCAATGACTAATATTGATAAACTTAACCCTTCCCAGCAACACAAGGATCCAAGACATCTCCAAAGGCCTCATGGTGGAAAAAGCTATCCACATCCAAAGAAAGAGCTATGGAATTTGAATGAAGATCAAAGCATACTATTTGCTATTTTTTTTTCTCTTCTGTTGAGTTTTGTTTCCTCTTTCTGGTGGTTCCTCCTATTTGGTTCTAATTCTTACTTACAACATCACTAATGTGAAAATATGTTTAATAGGAATGTATATGTATAGCCTATATCAGATTGTGTGCCATCTTGAGGAGGGTGGTGGGGAGGAAGGAGGAGAAAAATTTTAAACTCAAAAGCATATGGAAGTGATTGCTGATAAATCAAAAGAAATTAATAAAAAAAAGAAAAAAGAAAGCAAGTGTCTCTGATGAAGGTCTCATATCTCAAATATATAGAGAACTGTATCAAATTTACAAAAATACAACCCATTCCCCAATCGATAAAAGGTCAAAGGACATGAACAGGCAGTTTTCTGATGAAGAAATCAAAGCTATCTATAGGCATATGAAGAAACACTCTAAATCACTATTGATTAGAGAAATGCAAATTAAAACATCTCTGAGATACCACCTCACATTTTCAGATTGGCTAATATTACAGAAAAGGAATATAATAAATATGGGAGAAGTGGGAAAATTGGGACACTACTTCACTGTTGGTGGTGTTTTGAACTGATCCAACCATTCTAAAGAGCAATTTGAAACCATGCCTAACGGGCAACCAAACTGTTCCTACTCTTTGAGCCAGCAATACCGCTACTAGGTCTGCATCCCAAAGAGAGCATAAAAAAGGGCAAAGGACCCACAAGTACAAAAATATTTATAGCAACTCTTTTTGTGGTAGCAAAAAATTGGAAACTGAAGGAATGCTCATCAATTGGGGAATGGCTAAACAAGCTGCATTGTATTAATGTAATGGAATACTATTATGCAATAAGAAATGATGAGCAGGCAGATTTCAGAAAAACCTGGACAGACTTATATGAACTGAATAGCAAAGTGAAGTGAGAAGAACTAGAACACTGTAACACAGTAGCAGCAACACTGTGTGATGATCAACTGTGATAGACTTAGTTCTTCTCAGCAATACAATGATCAAGAAAATTAAAAAGTACTCATGATAGAAAATGCTATACACATCCAGAGAAAGAACTGATGGACTCTGAACACATGTCAATTTGTTTAAAAAAAAAAACCTGAGAAGGGCAGCTAGGTGGTGCAGTGAATAGAGCTCTGGCCTTGGAGTCAGGAGGACCCAAGTTCAAATCCAGCCTCAGACACTTAACACTTACTAGCTGTGTGACCCTTGGCAAGTCATTTAACCCCAATCGCCTCACCAAAAAAAGAAAAACAAATAAATAAATAAATAAATGAATAAAAAAACCTGAACTTGATAGAAGATTTGACATATAAGATCCAAGGGAAATATAAGGTACATATCAAATACTAATTACAATGGACTCAATAAAAACAGACTGTTTATCCTTTATGTGAGGAAACGTAAAACTTGTGTCTAAGATTGTTATTAGTAATTCAGTAGTTCATAAGAAAGATTGGGGTAAACCTGAGTATTATATGATTTTTAAAAGTAAAACTGTTTAGAAACAAATAAAAAAAGTAATTGCTTTATATAAATGAGGTGGGAGGTGAAGAACTGATCTAGAGGAATTAGATGGGAGAGGAGAACTGATAGTTCTGGAACCCTACTTTCATCAGGAAAAGGTTTAAGATGGTACAATACTTATATATCTAGAAGGGTTTAAAAGTCTTCTAAATTCAGAAAAAAATAAAAATCTAACAAGATAGAGTTGAGGGAGAGGATAAGGGAAGGATTTTTAGAGGCGAGGGTGAGGGAATAGGATAAGGGGGTGAGGTAATAGAAAAGTGTTTAGCTTATTGGGAATGGGAGAACAAGAGAGGAATCTTTGGGGTAGGGGTAGGTTGAATAATTAGAGGTGAAGTAGCAGGTAGAAGTAAAGTAGAGAAGTCAGGAGGGATAGAAAATAAGAGATACATACAAACATAAAAGATCAGAAGTAGAATTTATTTTTTAAAAATGGGTAGTAATCATGATCTCAGACAAAAATTGAGCTAAAATAGATTTAATCATAAGAGAAAACAGAGAAACCACACTATACATCAGCCATATTAATCAATATTGTTTTAGATTATTCACAATAGCTAGACATATAAGGATAGAATATCGCTGTGGTGTAGGAAATGATGAGTTGGTGGACTTAGAAAAATACGGAAAGACTTGGACTTATGAAGGAAGAGGTTATCCACTTTCAGAGAAACAGAGGACAAATAGGTGTAGTATGATCTTACATAGATGCATATGAATGTGTATGTCTATATATGAGTATCATTATAGGAAACTAAGTACATGTATGTGTATTTAAGTGTACATATGTTTGTGTATATGCACGTATATATCTTTGTATATATGTGCATATTTGTATCTATGTATGTGTATGTATGTATAGCTTATATGTGTATGTTTATGTATGTGTATATATATTTTATATATATATAAATGTGTATGTGCATATACATATACATATACTTATACATACATATATATATATATATATATATATATATATATATATATATATATATATATCCTCATTTAATTGTACTTTCTTTTGGATGGGAAGAAGGGGAGGGAAAACAAAGTAAAAAGGGTACAGCAGAGAACAAAAGAAAACTTACCAGGAAGCAAAGAAAAGATGGACAGCTCTGAATACAATGGATAGTATTTATTATATATACTTTCCTGAAATGGGAATTTATTGCTGTATATTTTGAATCCTCTGCTGTGCACATGGCAATGCTTTTTCTTTCCTTTTCTTATTTTGTATTTAAATGTCAATATTTAAGTTTATAATGCTTCTTTTTCTTTTCTTATCATGTATTAAAGTTTTGTATTTGTTTAAAATGAATTAATAATAAAAATAAAATAAAATAAAGTGATTGCTTATCTCTACCTAAGAGATCCTGCTTCTATTCCTTTGCTTTTCCTCCTTCCTGGGATTCCATCCCTCCTCCACTGGTACTGCTGATCTAACTCTAGCTTATCCTTCAAGGTTCAGTTCAAAGTTCTACTTCCTCCATGAAGGCTTCTTCTTTTTTTAAACTTTTTTTTAAAGTTTTGAGTTCCAAATTCTACCCCTCCTTCCTCTCCCCTCTCCCTGAGATGGTGAGCAATCAGATGCAGGTTATACATGTGCAATTATGTAAAACATTTCCATAATAGTCATTTTGTACAAGGACTTGAATAAGAGAAAAAAATGTAAGAAAGTGAAAAATAGCATGCTTCAGTCTATATTCAATCAATATCGGTTCTCTCTCTGGAGGATAGTATGCTTCATCGTGAGTCCTTTGAGAATAGCTAAGTCATTCACAGTTCTTCATAGAACAATATTGCCATTACTATGTATAACATTCTTCTAGTTATGGTCACATCACTATGCATCAGCTCATGTAAGTCTTTCCAGGGTTTTCTGAAATAATCCTACTTGTCATTTCTTATAGTACAATAATATTCCTTTACAAGCAAATACCACTGGTTGTTAGCCATTCCCCAACTGATAGGCATCCCTTCAATTTCTAATTCCTTGCCACTTACAAAAAGAGCTGCCATAAATATTTTTGTATAAGTAAGTCCTTTTTCCTTTTTTGGATGTCTTTGGGATGTAGACATAGCAGGGTATTGCTGGATCAAAGGGTATGCACCAGGGGTGGGGAACCTGCAGCCTGGAGGCCACAAGCAGACTTCTAAGACCTTGGGTGTGGCCTTTTGACTGAGCCCAAGTTTTACAGAACAAATCCTTTTATTAAGGGGATTATCAAAGGGCCACATGAGGACCTAGATGGCCACATGTGGCCTTAAGGCCACATGTTCCCCACCTCTAGTACTATGCACAGTTTTATAGCCATTTGGGCATAGTTCCAAATTGCTCTCCAGAATGGTTGGATCATTTGTGAAGGCTTCTTTGACTGCTGTTGCTTTAATGATGCCATCCCTTGCATCCTAGAATATTTACTGCATGTATAAAGTCACTTAGTATGGAATCACTCCAGAGACAAACTTGTCCTGTACTGACAGTGCCACCTGGTGACTGCTACAGGGAAATGTTTTCCTGCAGTTACATCCTCTTCCTCATCTTTTCTTCCCCTTCTGATGGATAGTATACACACCATGCTCTGCATTACAATGCATAAAGCCCGCTAACTCTACTTTAAAGGCAGGTAAGTAGCATAGGGGATATAATGCTGGGTTTGGTGTCCAAATCAGGCCTCCAACATTGATTAGCTGTATGACTCTGGGGCAAGTTACTCTCTCAGACTCAGTTTCCTCATCTGTAAAAATGGCGTAAATCATGCTATTATGATTGCTTCAGGCATTTTTGAAAACACCACATATTTCTCTTTGTAGAACATTCAACTTTGCCCTCATCCAACTCTTCTCCTATTTTGGCGCTTGTCCAGTTACCTCAGAGGTATCTCCTTTACTTTCTCTCATTGCATTCATTCAGAATTCCAGGGAAATTCTGGGCTTAAAAGTTCTGCACCTGCACACCATTAATATCATCATTTCTATCAGAAAACCAGAAACTGACTTGGAATAAACATATAGAACTCATTCATAACTTGGGATTTTCTTTATTGAAAGCTGTAAGTAACAAGCAAAAATATATGTTTGGCTGATGCTCATTGCTCTTTGCCGTCTCTGTCAGACTCTAATCCTGCCTAAAAGCAAAATAAAAAAAAGTAAATATTATTCTTCAGCATTATCCAAACTTTGAAAATGTCACAAAGCAAAGTAAATAGATACAGTGTTTAGATAACCTTCTATTTGACTATGTGTACTGGTTCAGTTTGGGTTGATTGTGATCAGTAAAATTCAACAGAATTTTTTAAATGAATCGTTTTCAAAACAGTTACAAAAGGTCCACAAAAATCATTTAAATTCCATCAAAGAACAAATGATTCATTAGGTTATTAGCCTAAAAATGTCATGTACATAGGGACGCAGTAAATGTTTGCTCAATTAAGTTGGATTGGCCTCAGAGTTTTGAGTTTGATAAAAGTTACTACCAAATTTCTTGCCAAAAAAAAAAAATCAAGGCATTAATATAATCAATATTCTAAAAAATATAAAGTTTTCATTATAAAAGGCCCAAATTAATAATTGATCATGCAAACCTAAGGATATCATGAACCATGTGGTACATATATAAGTGACATCCTTTGTATATAGTAACTATTCCACCATCAATCCCATACTTTCAGTTGTTTCCAGTAGAAGAGATGGATTTGTGATCTATTCAGTTTCCCACCTATCTCCCTTGTGATCAATGGTGTATCTGCAAAATTGGCTGTCTGGCATTCAGGATCCAAAGTCTGGCCACTGAAAAGATTTTTCCTTCTGTGAAACCAACAAGTCCACAACCCTAACACATTTAGTACTATAGCTTAACCAAAATAAAAGAGGCTCTTATCAAAATCCTCTTTTCTAAAAATACTTACTTCAGAAATAGTCGTTTCATCTAATTCTTCAACTCGACTTAAGTTAGGTGCTCCGTACTTATTGCTAATTTCAGCTAACGTCTTATTTAAGCCATCCTACAATTCAAGTAATTCAATTGCAATTTTTAAATGGCTTTATGAGAAATTTAATCCATTTTAAAATGATATTCCTATATTTGTCTACAATGAACAAACTGAACATAATAGTAACAACATATTTAAGATCTTCAAAGCATTTTAAATTAATTTGATAGAGTTAGGGCACAATGGTTGTTGATCACTAGAGGATTTTCCAAAGAAGAGTACAGAATATTCAAAAGTAATCTTAGGCATTTGAAAATACTTTAAAATATACATGTAACTTTTAATCTTCTTAAAATAATGCCATCAGTATCTCAAAAGATTCCGTTATTTTTATAAAAATTATCTTTTTATCTCCCCTAATGCCTATAATATAGTGTTCCAGAAAGCACTTAATAAATGATTGACAAATGAATATTTGAGATTTAGCTTGACAGCACATTTGGGACTTGTTATGACTAGAACACAAACAGTCTTTATGACCTTTATTACCCAATTACAATAAGACTGATTAAAATTAATGAATAAGGCTTTCACACAGGAAGCCCTTCCTGATAGCTGTCATTATTCTCATTCTCTTCAAATTCTATTTTATTGATTGGTTTAGATGTTGAATTCTCTTAGTAGAATGTAAGCTCTCTGAGAGCAAGAATTTTTTTTAATTTAGTCTTTGCCGCCCAAGCTCCTAACATAATGCTTTCTACTTTATAAGCACGTAATAAATGTGTAATGAATTTATCATTGAAAAATGCATCAGAATTTACTTTTGCTTTCTAGAATGAGTTACTGCCTATAACAAACAATAATTTTTTATCCTTACCACTTCTATCGGAATTTCTGCTACATGCTCTTCTTCCCCACTTTGCTCCACCTGGGATGACTCTGGCTATAATAATATTTTTTAAAAAGTTGAACAAAAACATACTTTGTATAATTTTTCATTTTCTTTCCACCCTTTCCAAATAGCTTTACTGAATGATCAAATGTATATTGCAACAAGTAATTTTCAAAGCAGAATCAGAGTAATTAAGCAATAGTTCATTCAAATGCATAGATCTAATTGCCATTTTATATTCAATTTTAATAGAGGCCATCATATTAAGGGCAATACTTTAACAGATCTGTCATGTAAGCATTTTCTCCAATGGTACAGAGCACAATTATCCATGCCCATGTCTCATTCAGTGCAATTCATATCCATCTCTGTTCAAAGAGAATATGGGAGATGGAGGTATTGTCAAGAGATATTACACAGGTAACACCAACAGGCCTTAGCAAAGAGATTGAATATGACAGGTAAGGGGGAGAAAGTGAATGTGACACCTAAGTTACAAGCCTGGATGACCAGAAGGATGATGGTACCCTCAACAAAAGGGAAGTTCAGAAGGAAAAAAGGTTGGGATCGTGAGATAATGCATACAATTTTAGATATTTTGAGTTTAAGATGTCTATAAGACATCTGGTTCAAGACGCCCAGCCAGTAGTTGAGGATGCAAGATAACAGCAACCTTCCAGTCACCAAGATTTGCAATACAAGATTTGGAATCATCCCTGAATCTCTTCACCTTCCTCCTGCTGACCCAATCCCATCAGTTGCTGGATTTTGTCAATTCTACTTCAGCAGCATCTCTTGCACCTGCCTCCTCCCCACCCTCTCCATTCACAAGTCACTCCTCTTTTTTAGGCTGTCATTACTTCGCACCTGTACTTTTGTAATAGCTTCCTATTTGATCTCCCTAGATCCATTATTTCTCTTCTCCAAACCATCCTCCTCACAATTTCCAAATTAGTATTATTTGTGATGTTCTCCTGCCATTTAGTATCTCCCTCTCTTTGAGATAGCTTAAAAACCTATCCTTCAATTTCTTCAAAATCACATCTCCTCCATGATGGCTTTCTTCTATACATATATATTTGGTCCACCTGCTATTCCTGACTTCATCTTCAGTCCAATTTCTACTTTATCATATGGTATTGTTAGCTATCAATTTATAACATATAGGGAATGAGGAAGCCCAATACCTTTTGTAGGTTTAGAGTCTAGCTAATATAAGAACTGCTTTTTGTTTGAAGGTAAGATCCTGTTGGTTTTTTGCAGGGCCATCCTTTAATGATCTACTGGATTTCTTCTTCTGAGTCTTGTCTACTCCATGTTTTGTCAGTCTTACTCTTTTATGTTTTTGTCCACAGTTATTCATTTTAATCCTCAAGATTATTAATAGAGCTGTGTCTAAAATTGTCTCTTAATTTTCTTTTGTGCTTATCTCTCATTTTCAAAGTCAATGTTTATGATTTCCTCTCTTTTTAAAATTACAATTTCTGATTGTCAATCAATTTTCTAGGTCATTTCTAAAACTTCTCCTTATAAATTCAGTTATTTCCTTCTTCTGTTTCATTCATCTCTGCTCATATCAGTTATCTCCATTTTTCTGCTTTCTATTGGTAAAATAGAATTGTTCCTTTTTCTAATTGTAGACTTACTTCCCTAAGGTTCCCTTATCCTATATATTAATATATGCATTCAGCACTATAAGCCTTCCTCTGAGCACCACTTTGTTTGTTGCAATAGATTTTGAAATGTACTTTATTTAATGTAATATGATACTGACTTTTGCAATTCCCCTTTTCACCCAGTCATTACTTAATAAATTGGGTTGTGTTTTTGTTTGTTTGTTTGTTTCTGCATGGACCTATTCCTTTACTTTGTTTTGTGTTGGGTTTTTGTGGTGGTAGAAGGGGTATTCAAAGGAGTTGTGGACCAGTGTTTTTGTTGGTATGGGGATGCTTGATGTGCAAACTCTTTGCATTAAAACAGATTACTGAAAGGTAATTTATAGAACCAAAAAGTTGCCTGGGCGGTTACTGAGAGTGTAAGTTACTGGCCCATAGTCACACAACTAGTATGTGTGAGAAGCAGGATTTGAATCCAAGTCTTTCTGACTCCAAAGCTAGTATCTCTACACCACACTATAGTGTCTAGTCATATTTGTCTTACAGTATTATTATCTACTCTAGCTTCATGGTATTATGATCTACAAATATAGAATATATACTTTCTGCTTCTCTAATTTTCCTACAACTTCCTGGCTTCCCTGGCTTCCTTCCAGTCTCAGCAAAAGTTCCAACTTCTGCAAGAAGTCTTTCTCAGTCCTCCGTAATCTCAGTGCCTTCCCTCTGAGATTATTTTCTATTTATCTTGCCTATATCATGTGTACGGATCATTTGCATGTTGTCTCCCCATTAAACTGTAAGCTCCTTGAAAGCCAGGATGGTCTTTTGCCTCTCTTCAGATCCCTGGCACTTAGCACAATGCCTGGGACATGGTAGGTGCTTCATTCATTGCTTGTCTTTCATCTGAGGAAGGGCTATGCAAAGTCACCAATCTCACTCTTTCCTCAAGAACTATCTGGGTCCAGTGGCCAGATATAGATCAGGACAACTGGATATCAGTAGGTGCTTAATAAATGCTTGTTGACTGATGCTATCCAGCACCTGATCAGTTTTTATGTAAGTTTCAAATGTAGCTGCTTTTGAAAAGCCAACTGAAGGTACATAAACTGAATCCCCAGTGCATTGTCATTAAGGCAAAGAGTATATCTAGGACAAAGTAAGTACGCATCATGTTGAAGAGTTAAACTATCTGTTTTTAAGAAATACTAAACTTTGAGGGGCAGCTAGGTAGTGTGGTGGATAAAGCTCCAGCCTTGAAGTCAAGAGGACCTGAGTTCAAATCCAGCCTCAGATACTTGATGCTTACTAGCTATGAGACCTTGGGCAAGTCACTTAACACCAATTGCCTCATCAAAAAGAAAGGAAAAAAAAAGAAATATTACACTTTGTTCAGGAAACAGTAAAGAAAGGGAGTCCCTCTTTTGCTATAACCAGATACACCTGATCCATCTGTGACAGAATTGAGAAATCACTGGACCTGAAATCAGAAAGAACCAGATTCAAATCCCACCACTGAAACTTATTCGCTATATGACCTTATGAAAAGTCATTGAAAGTCTGAGTTTTACTCTCTTCATCTGTAAAATGGGGATAATGATATTTTCAGCACATACCCTACAACCCTGAGAGACTCAGATGTGCCAATGGACGGAATGTCTTTGCAAACCATAAAGCACTGTATTAAATGTCAGCGTTATTGTTCTATTCCAATTTCTCCAGTCGTTCCTAAGAAAATTTGCTATGATCCTAATTGATTCCCCCCTTTGCATGTCATACTATGATAGGAGCACAGCTCTAGAGCTGGAAGGGAGCTCAGGTACTCTCTGGGCCAACAGTGTCATTCTACAGATGAGAAAACTACAAATTGTTGGTTTCCCCAAGATCACATTAATAGTAATTGGTAAAACCAGGATTTGATCCCAGATCCTTTGCCTCCAGAGACATATCTTCGCCAACTGAAGGAATCTTTCCTAATCAGTACCATATTGAATGAGTAAATATCGGGCTTCTTCTTCATAGGGATATATGAATTCATTCTAACAGTGTTTTTATTTGTTTCTTTTTTTTTCAATATTGGGAAATTTTCTTGAAAAATTTCCTGAAATACAGTGCTCAAAATTCTTTGCTTTTTAAAATTGTTCCAGAATGTTTGTAATAATTAGATTAAAGTATTTTGACCTACCCTACCCCCAGTTTGTCATTTTAAGATTTTCACCTTTCTTTCCATTTGAGTATTTTTTTGAAAACTAAGTTCTAAATTTGTCTTTTTCCCACTTTCTCTGCATTATATGCAATTTTATTTTCAATTGTATTAATACTGTGTTTATTTGGGAAATTTTTTTTCATTTTCAACTTAGAAGCACTTTTTCTGTTGATCATTCAAAGTGCTATAACACAAAGGCATATAATAAGAATAGACAGTATATCATGAAAATAGACATAAAACACTGCATAAGTACCTCCTCTAGCTGTTCCAAGAACAACCTTTCTCTTTCTTGCATTTCCATGTCAAGTTTTTGCTAAATAAAAACACAAAAATGCATACATTAAATCAGACTAAAATTAACTTCTATAGATCAGTTCTTGTATTATCAAACTCCTCAGGGGTAATAAATTCACATATGACTATGTAAACATATCTGCCTGTTGACATTTTCATGTTCTCTATCATATTCTTCATATTAAGCCCTATTTCATTATATCTTCTTAATCATTGTCAGCATATTTCAATTTTAGCTTCAGTTCATTCCAACTACAAATTGGTATAGGGAACACCTGGTAAGGAACCTCCTTCTATCAATGAAAATTCACAACTGTTTTGCAGTTTATAACCTTCGAAAATTGCCTGGAGCATTGAAAGGTTAAATAATTTGCCCAAAGTCACACAACCAGTATACCAGAAGGAGACCTTCAGACTCAGGTCTTCCAAACTCTGACTCTATGGGCACGTATTGCTGTTGCTGTTCAATTGTTATCAGTCATGTCCAACTCTTTGTGACCCCATTTAGGGTTTCCTTGGCAAAGACACTGGAATGGTTTGCCTTTTCCTCCTCCAGCTTATTTTACAGATGAGGAAACTGAGGGAAATAGGGTTAAGTGTTGCCCAGGGTCACATAGCTTAAGTGTCTGAGGCCAGAATTGAACTCAAGAAGTTAGCCTTACTGACTCAGGGCCTGAGACTCTATTCACTGCCACTGAGTCGCCCAAGGGCATGTGGTATTTTGAAAAGTAATAGTTTATTTCAGTGAAAGATGGACCATTTATCCACCTGTGGTAGGAACAACTGTCTTATATAAATTAAGCTGGCCCATTAAAAGGGCAAGGATGCCAGGGCTTCCTTGCAGACTGAGGCATAAACATCCTAGCCCAAGTGGAATTAGTGCTTGCCTCTAGCTGCTTTATAAGGAATGCTTTGCTGGGTGTGCAAAAGGATGAGATTATCCTTTTGAATGTATTCTCTTAAACTCTTATTTAACCAAGTGGCTTTTCATTGTAGATTTTGTGTTATCTGAGTATTTATTGCATTTTAAAACTTTAAATCTGCTTTAGGCTTGATCTACAATATTACCTGTAATAAAACATGCATTAAAAAAAACTTAAATTACTGCTCTTATGGCTTGCATTTCTATAAATTTTCATTTCTAACTTGGAGACAACACCAAGTTATTTTCTTAATATTTAACAGTCAACCATTATTACTAACAATCCATTAATGATCAAAAAGAGTAATTATGCATACAATTTAAAGAGAGTGCTTAAAGATAATGTAAAGGTAGTACATTAGAACAGATATCATCAAACTTCAAAGTACCTTCTCTAACTCTTCAAGTCTCTGCCTCTCTTTTTCTTGCATTTCCAGCTCTAGCTGTTGCTAAACATACAAGCATAAATAAAAACAAAATAGGTTAGAATAATATAAACTACTATGGATCAGTGCTTCTGCTCTCAAATTTCCCAGGAGGAATAAAATTGTATGCAACCACCCACATTTCAGAAACACACAAAAATTTTTGGTAAAAATGTTTAAATTCTTAAAAATAGCTACTAATAACAAAAATTGCAAGTATATTTCCTTTATAATCAAACTGCATCTACAGTTGGTTAAAAAAAAATCAAGTAATTTTCTTTATCCATGAAGCTACCAGATTTAAGATTTCAAGAGCTATTGAAATTACAAAATATCTCACTAGCCTAAGATTAGACCTCATCTAGACAACTCTTGATCATTTAAGGTAATGGAAGGAAAATCTTGGGTTTATTCCTTCAAGTCACAAATAATCTAAATACATAGTTCATTAAACATATAAGCTACCATTTCATCAGTTAACTTTTGACACAACTGATGACCATAACGCTCTAATTTTATCTCAAAAATGACTCAGTTATCAACTGTTTTAGCCCACAGTGCTATTTCTGGTTAGATCAGTTGATTATAATATGGATGAGGATCCTTTGGCTCTGCTAGGGCAAAAAGGTACATCCTAAATTGGGCCTTACATAGTGAAATACTGTGCCTACTCCATTCAGAGCTCAGTCTCTTCAGTGGTCTAACAAACCTGGCTGTTAAAGTAATAATAATAACAACAACAATGATAATGATAGCTAACATTTATAGAGCATTTTAAGTTTACAAAATGCTTACAGTAGTTAATCTTATTGGTAACAAGCCTATGTATTTTTTAAATTCTCGGCTCTCTCTCTCTCTCTCTCTCTCTCTCTCTTTCTCCCTCTCTCTCCATTATAATCCCACCCTATTGTAATACCTTGTACTTAGTAAGTACTTAATGCATGTTTGTTGAATTTACTTTAATTTTAAGTTAATCATCTGTTATAACCTACAATTGATTCCCCAGCCCTATAGTTGCTCAGTCATGTTGATGTGGGGGACAAAGAGTGCCCTAGGATTAGAAATAATATTAAGGGTTACTTTCCCAGGCCCCTGAGGGGGTTTGAGGCTCATTCTGTAGCGCATCCTGTACCTTGAGACCCTGGATCTTGAAAACTTCCCAATCCTTTTCCCTTTATCTCAAAATGCCATACAACTTTCACCAAAAGAATTGCCTTTGTTTCCCTTATCTTGAGATGCCATAAAACTTCCCCCTATCCTGGACCACGAAATTTCCTTGTCTCCCTCCTCCTGACTCATGAAATTTCCCAAATTCCTTATCCTGGGTCCCCTATGCTGCCATCCATCTTCCTCATCCTGTGTCTTGACAATCCCTCCCCCTACCTCGTAAGATAAAACAGACCCCTATCCCTTTGTTAGTTGTGAATGGGATGTCCCAGTGAAGATTTCTCAGTGTAATTAAGGTAATGAGTTCAGAAGGTAGTGTGAGAAATGAACTCTCAGAAGTGAAGGCTCCTCAAAGGGTCAAATAATTCTTGATTACTACTTTCAAAATCGTCCCCAACTCAGACCCTGTTTTTAAGCACTTAACAGAAAGAATAAACTCTGCCCCACCCCCAACCTGAGCCCTTTGTCCTTGGCTTTGAATTTCGAGCCTGGAATGTAAGCCCCACCTCCCAGTTAAGGGGATAGGAAGAAACTCTCAAGCTTAGAATGTAAGCCCCACCTCCCAGTTAGAATGTAAGCCCACCCCCAGTTAAGGGGGTAAGTGATAGTGGTGGGTGGAGACTTGTTTTCATGTTGGGTGGAGATTTGCTTTTATAAGGCAGTCCCTGTTAGGTGGTCTCTCCCTCCCCCTCTCCCTCTCCCTCTCCCTCTCTCCCTCTCTCCCTCTCTCCCTCTCTCCCTCTCTCCCTCTCTCCCTCTCTCCCTCTCCCTCTCCCTCTCCCTCCCCCCACGTGTATCGGAGGAGCAGACAGCCATCTCATGAGATTGTGATAAAGGTAACCTTTGCTTTCCACCTTGAGAAGTCTCTGAGTTTAATTTGGGTTGGGGTCGCTGTCCCACTCAGCTTCTAGTCCTCTTTCCAGAGCTAGCCCATTGCTTTTGCATCAATAAAGCTCCCCAATGGTTATGGAGACGGTCTAAGGGAATTCTTTCACACCTGAACCAGCTCTCCCAACTCTAAACCTCAACAATGTCCAACTTTTTGTGACTGCATTTGAGATTTTCTTGACAGAGATACTGGAACAATCTGCCATTTCCTTCACCAGCTCATTTTTATAGAAGAGGAAACTAAGCCAAACAGAGTTAAGTGATTTGCCCAGGATCACACAACTAGCAAACTTGGAATCTTCTTGATTCCAAGCCCAATGCTCTATCCACTGTGCCACCTAGCTGCCCAATAGCAATAATAAGCAAGTCACTCTACTTTAACCTTAATTGAAAAAATAAAAGATAAAGTAATTTTTAAATCATTAGAAGAAAAGTCCCTGGAAGCAGGATCAAAGAGCTTACAGTTTACTCCCAGATTCTATTGGCCTTGCCTATGAGGTCTATGAGGCTACATACCACACTACCTTTTTTCTCCTCCACACTTTCCCTTGATTTTCAGGAATCAATGAAAAGTCCTGGGCAAAATGGTTCTCCTGTATTTTTTTTATATTAGGCATTGATAGAAATTCAAATGATTAGACCTCATCTAGACAACTCTTGATCATTTAAGGTAATGGAAGGAAACTCTTGGGTATATTCCCTTAAGTCATTCAAAATAATATTATTAGGCAGTCAGAATTAAGTTCTGAAAAGATTATTACAGCCCTTCTCAGTAGGTGCACAGTCCTGTTCACTGATTTGGTTATTATCTCAACACTAAGTCAACATTTACTAACCACAAAAAGCTTTTTCAAAGCAAAATGTATTTGGAAAGGACCTCTGAGAAATTCTTACACTTTCCTCTCAATTTATTCTTCTGAGAAGTTTCTGTCTTAGCCAAGAAAGAACTATGAAGAGAAGGAAGAAGGGGCTGGAGCCTACTGGGTATTACCTATGAATTCTTATTCAAAGTTTATGGGACCATGGGACCATGGTTCCCCCCTCCCCCAACACCATCATTCTGCCTGAGGGGGAAAAAAAAACAAAGATAGGAAGACTGAGAAGAGAACAAGAAGTAGAGAGTAAGAGTAATGATGATAACAATAGCTTACATTTACATAATGCTTTTAAGGGTTGCAAAATGCTTTGCACACATTATCTCATTTGAGCCTTACAATAATCCTTTGAGGTAGGTGGTAGTACCCAGTCAATAGAGAGAGAAAGAAATGAAGAGAGATCATACAGAAAAACAGAAAGATAAAGGCATATGGGGAAAATGGTAGAGAAGAACGCACTGTATCAGGCTCCTGAGGCCTTCCTACTCATAATAACACTAAAAATGCCTCCTACTTAAGCTCGGTTTATTTTTCCCCCTTTCTCTATAGTCTGTCTTTCTGGACAGCTGAACTGAGCCAATTTTCCCAGTATTACAGAGATAGAGAGTCAGTGAGAGATAGACAGAGAGACAGATGTAAAACGAGGGGAAGGGAGGGAGAGAGACATGGATAGATAAATACATATAGAGATACAGACAGACATTTCCATTATTTCATAAGTTTAAGAACAATCACAAAGCACCTACTATGATCAAGAACATATCAGAAACTATTTCTAAGACTAATAAAAGTCAGATTTTAGTCTTAAAGGATTAATCTTTGTCATACCTGTTGAAACAACAGCTCCTCTTCTTTCAGTTGTTTTGATGTTTCCTCCTCTATCCTAGCTAATTCTTGCTCTCCCTGCAACTGAGTCAGTTCCATTTGCCGCTAACATTGTGTTAAAAAAAAAATTGTGTGAGTAATTAAAAATACACCAATCAGACCATCTGTCTTGGTTGCTTCCTTCATACTCACCATTTTTTCTGCAACCATGTTTTTCTTATATTTGTAAAGCCAGAAGGCTAAGTACTCAATTGGGTCTACTGGTTGAAACTTGACCACATCTGCAAGTGCTTGACTCAGGCATTGGCCAAGGAACTTTCGAAGATATCTGGACTCCATTTGTATCCAGTGAAAACTGCTGTGTAAATAAATATATTGTATCAGTGTTAACTGGTTCAGCTAAGGCAACAATGTCACACAATGTAAATGAATGGTAAATGGGAAGATGTCACCAAATAATTTACAGGATGGTTAAAGAAAGGCAAAGATGAAAAAGAGCACTCTATGAGAAAAATTTGTCAGCAGCAAGGAAGGTGACTGCTCTTCAAAGGCCACTTCATCTTAGATATTGGTGGGACTAAGAGTGTTTCTTAGGAAAGGAAAGTCTAGCAGTAAGGTCTGAAAGGAATAGAGGACGACGCTAAGAATCCCTTGATGCCTGACATCTGGAGTCAATACTTCAACCAGCTCTAATAAGTTCAGACAATGACACATAAGTGAAGTTGCCAGGGTGCTACATAGCATGATGTGAGGTATACTGATAGCCCAAAAGTTATCTTCAAGGCTTAAAGCCCCAAAATGTGTCTTCCTTATAGGGCTTTTTCAACAGCATCTAAAATTCCTGCAAGTCATTTCTTTATCTCACATTATAGAGAAAACATGTTATCTGGAGGAAGGAACACATGAAGTCTTTAACAAAGACTTCATTTAGTCACTTAGTGGAAAGTACATTAGTTTTGGAGTCAAATGACTTCAGTCTCAATACTGGCTTGACTACATATTACCTGATTTACACTGGGTAAATCAACTAATCTCTCTAGATCTCAGTTTCCTAAACTGTAAAATGATGAGGTTGGAATAGATCCATAAGATGCCTTTATAGCAGTAAATCCTGCAATCTCATTAACATGTATGCATTAAATTGGCATGTCAATTAGTCAATAAACATTTAGAAAGTACCTACTATGTGCCAGGCACTGTGTTAAGCACTGGAAAAAAAGAAAGGTAAAAGGTAGTCAGCTCTCAAGGCCCTCACAGTCCAATGCAAACAACATGCAAACAACCACATACAAACGAGCTAAAGACAGGATAAACTGGAAATAATTAACAGAGTAAAGGCACTAAAATTAAGGGAGATTGGAGAAAGACAGCTTCCTATAAACAGGCAGGATTCTATCTGGGACCTGAAGGAAAACAGGAAGTGGAGATGAGAAGGAAGAATATTCCAGGCATTTAGAAAAACCAGTGAAAGTGCCTAGAGTCAGGAGATGGAGTCTCTAGTTCAAAATAGAGGAAAGGAGGGAAAAATTGGGGGTGGAGGAAGAAGTAATGGGGAAAGTCAGGGTGGGTAATGGTGAGAGACATAAAGTGTTAGACTGAAAAGGAGTGAGGAGGATCACAAGTTATGAAAGGATTTTTTTTTTTTTGCAAGTCAAAAAGCATTTATTAAGTACTTACCAGTGTCTGGCACTATGCTAAGCACTGGAAATACAGCTACAAGTAGAGTGTCCCTGCCCTCAGGGAGTTTATATTCATTTCTTTTTTTTTCATTTTTTAAAAATTAATTCATTTATTTTTAGTTTTCAACATTCACTTCCCCGAGATTTTGAGTCCCAAATTTTCTCCCCATCTCATCCCTACCACCACCCCAAGATGGTATGCATTCTGAATACACCTTCCCCTAATCTTCCCTCTTGTCTATCTCTCCCCCACCTTCTCTTATCCCCTTCCCCTTCAATTCTCCTGTAGGGTAGGATAGATTTCTATACCCCATTTCCTGTATATCGTATTTCCCAGTTGCATGTGAAAACAATTTTTTTAAACTTTTCTTTTTAAAGCTTTGGGTTCCAAATTTCCTCTCTTCCTCCCTCCCCACCCACCCTCACTGAGAAGGCAACTTGATACAGGTAATACATGCGTACTCATGCAAAACACTTTCATAGCAGTCATGTTGTGGGAAACTAAATATATTTCCCTTAATCCTATCCTGCTCCCCATTTCTCCTATTCTCTGTTTTAACTCTGTCCCTCCTTAGAAGTGTTTGCTTCTGATTACTCCCTCCCCAAATCTTCCCTGCCTTCTATCATCTTCTTGCTCTCTTGTCCCTTCCCCCTGCCCCCATTTTCCTGTAGGGTAAGATAGATTTCCATAACCAATTGAGTGTGTATGTTATTCTCTCCTTAAGCCAAATCCGATGAGAATAAAATGCACTCATTCCGTCTCACCTTCTCCTGTTTCCCTTCCACTGTAAAAGCCTTTTCTTGTCTGTTTTTTGTGAGATAATTTAGCCCATTTTACCTCTCCCTTTCTCCTCCCAGTATAATCCTCTCTCACCCCTTAATTTCATTCTCCAGGTATCACCCCTTCATCTTCAACTCCTTCTGTGACTTCTATCTATGTATCTATTTCTATATCTATCTATTTATCTACATATAATTTTCCCCTGCAACTACTCTATTACTGACAAAGGACTCATGAGTTACAAATACCATCTTTCCATGCAGAAAGTAAGCAGTTCAACCTTAATAATTCTCTTATACTTTCTCTTTCCTATTTACCTTTTCATGTTTCACTTGAGTCTTATATTTGAGAGTCAAATTTTCTATTCAGCTCTAGTCTTTTTATCAAGAATGCTTGAAAGTCCTCTATTTCACTAAATATCCATTTTTTCCTCTGAAGAATTACACTCAGTTTTGCTGGGTAGGTGACTCCTGGTTGTAATCTTGTCTCCTTTGCCCTCCAGAATATTATATTCCAAGCCCCCCAGTCCCTTAATGTTGAAGCTGCTAAATCTTGTGTTATCCTGATTGTTTTTCCACAATACTTAAATTGTTTCTTTCTGGCTACTTGCAATATTTTCTCCTTGACCTGGGAACTCTGGAATTTGTCTACAATATTCCTAGGAGTTTTCCTTTGGGGATCTCTTTCAGGAGGTGATTAGTGGATTCTTTCCATTTCTATTTTGCCCTCTGGTTCCAAAATATCAAGTCAGTTTTCCTTGATAATTTCTTGAAAGATGATGTGTAGGCTCTTTTTTTTATCATGGCTTTCAGATAGTCCAATAATTTTAAAAAGATCTCTCCTGGATCTACTTTCCAGGTCAGTTGTTTTTCCAATGAGATATTTCACATTGTTTTCTATTTTTTTTTCATTCTTTTGGATTTGTTTTACAGTGTCTTGATTTCTTATGAAGTCACTGCCTTAAGGAGGTATTTTCTTCAGTAAGCTTTTGGACTTCCTTTTCCATTTGGCCAATTTTGCTTTTTAAGGCATACTTCTCCTCATTGGCTTTTTGGAACTCTATTGCCATTTGGGTTAAGCTATTTTTTAAGGTGTTATTTTCTTCAGAATTTTTTTGGGTCTCCTTTAGCAAGGTGTTGACTTGTTTTTCATGATTTTCTTGCATCAGTCTCATTTCTCTTTCCAGTTTCTCCTCCACTTCTCTTACTTGCTTCTCAAAATCTTTTTTGAGCTCTTCCATGGCCTGGGACCAATTCATATTTTTCTTGAAGGCTTTGGATTTAGGAGCTTTGGCTTCGTTGTCTTCTTCTGGTTGTGTGTTTTGATCTTCTTTGTCACCAAAGTAAGATAATATAGTCTGACTCTTTTTGCACTACTTGCTCATAATCCCAGCCAATTACTTGAGTTATAAATTCTTTGTTAAGGTAGGGGTCTGCTTCCAGTGTGGAGAATATACTGTCTCCAAGCTTCAGGGGTTTTGTGCAGCTATTTTCAGAGATACTTCTAGGGACCTGTAAATTTTCACTTCTTCCAAGGTGGTATAATAAGGGGCGAGGTATTTACTCCTTTCCTGGCCTGTGCTCTGGTCTATGAGTGACCACAAGCACTCCTTTCTGCCTTGGAACTGTGAGGAGGATTTTCTGTGCACTACCACTACAAGCTCTACCACGCCAGTGCTCCTCCTTGCCCCAGGACCACCACCCAGAACTGTGACCCAGATCCAAGCATGGACAAAGCAAGAGAATCCTTCACCAGCAAAGAGATCCCTGCAATCCCCCTCTGATCAGCCACTTGATTCCCCCTCAGTCTATGGGCCAGAAGCAGGAAGCAGCTGTTGCCCTGGGGACACACGTGGGGAATTGGGCTGGAACCAAGCTTCTGTCTCACCAGAGTCACAGACTTTTCCTACTGACCTTCTAAGTTGTCTTTGGCATTAGTGGGGTTGAGAAGTCTGGAAACTGCCACCACTGCCCATGACTCAGTCTTCTGAGGCTTGCTACAGGTTCACTGAGGTCTGTTTTGCTGCGTGCCTATGTCGAACTGCATTCCTCTCCCTGCCCAGTGCAATATATCTTTCTGATCAACCATCCATATTGTCTTGGGCTGGAAATTTGTTTCACTCTGTCTTTTTGGGTGTTCTGCTGCTTTAGAATTTGTTTAGAGCCATTTTTTACAGGTATATGGAGGGGTTTGGGGGAGAGCTCAAGCAAGTCACTGCTTTTACTCTACCGTCTTGGCTTCGCCCCTCTATGAAAGGATTTGAACACCAAACAGAAGATTTCCTATTTGATCCTGAAAGTGACAGACAGAATAAGGAGTTGAGGATTGCCACTAGGTTGTGAGCCAGGGTGACTGAGAGGATGGTGATGCTCTTATCAGTAACAGGGAAGTAAGGAAGAGGGAAGGGTTTGAGGAGAAAGATAATGAGTTCGATTTTGGACGTGTTAAACATAAGATGGTCATTAGCTGACAGGATCCTGAAGAAATGACATATAATGAATGAGATTCGAATCTTTAATTGGGAGATTAAAAATGATAATACCAAGAGGGCAATACTAGATGGGGAGGCAAAATTGAGAACCAAGTAGCCTAAGGGACAATAACGATTACAGGTAAAAACAAAAATGGCGTAAGGAAAAAAAAAAGCCTTGAGAGCCAGTAGCCTTGCATTATAGTCTGTGCATTGCTACCCATTTCTATATAACTAGGCAATCAGTTAACTTTCATGAGGTGGCAGAATAGTGTTCTTCAAATATTTAAGAATCCTTTTGTGAGAGAAAAAATAGATGAACTTTGTGTTGCTCCAAAAAGACAGACCAGACGATAGGTGGTAATATCTTCAATAAGCAGATCAAAGAGCAACATAAGGAAAAACTAACAGCTGTCGTAGAGGGGTAGA